TTTTTTTCATTTCGGGTAGTAGCTGCGTGGAATGACCTTCCTCCGGCGGTTGTACACGCTCCTTCTGGAACCCAATTTAAAGCACTATTAGACATTTATTTATGCGAATCCTCGCGCTGGCAAGCATACTGCCCTGCGCTGAGAACAAAAGAGCAGTGCTACACCCTTTTTACACTTGTGCCTTTCAGGTGAACGACAGCCACTGACCGACAAGAACATAACCGACCCGAGAAACTTGGGCAAAAGCCTCGATCCTGTGTATCATTCCGTGAATCCGTGAATTTCCCTCCCAATTGTAATGCATCTAACTTGTTCATGTTCTTGAACAGGCTAGGATCTGAGGGTAGCTGTAAAAGTGAATAGAATCCTTTGTTCGGGGGTGAAAGTGGAAACCTGGATTTAACAGCCCCCTCTGTGAAACAAGATGAATGATTAAGTGAGTGCCAAAAAATACCGTTATTGAATCGGGCCTTTTCAAGTACAAAAATGACACCTTTTCTGGTGCCCGAAGAGTTATCACTCTATTAGTTGAGACTGAATGTTTGAATAATTTTTATTTCACCGCCTGTCCGCTTTTTGAAACAATCATTACTCAAGACAGGAATCCTGAAACTCACAAATCTGATTAGGTCAGGGGAAGTTCTATTACGCGAAAATTGCCACGCTGACAGTGGATGATTCAGGGGGTCCACACAAAAAAGGAAAGCGACCACGGACACATGAACTGCCTAAGCCTCATCCATTCGAAATGCTGCCTGCTAGATTCGAGGCGCAGTTATCTGTGAAAACCAGCCTCCTGGGATTGTCACCAAAAAGAACTACTTCTTTGTGGTGCCATCCAACGCACAAGTGACTCGAAATGACTTGAAAGAGACAGCTTTCTGGTCACACCAAACTCTTCAGCAGCAAGGAATCTAGTCCTTCCAAAGTTGGTATTGTGCGAGCTGCAGGTAGCGGTCATTGAAATGCACAACTGACCATTAGGAACTGTCCAGGCCAAATACCATCCACGTTGCATTTGGCTACCCACAACGAAAGACGCTTCGTTGATATGGTTGACTTATGTGGGCTGCCCTTTGATTTCATCTGCAGCTGGTCTGAAACCCAGAACATCAGAACTGGAATAGAAACCTCTACCGTGAAACTTCTCAAAAATACTAATCAAAATTCAAACTGGGACAGTCTTCAGCTGAGGAGTCATTTTTTACTATTGTCCGAAAAAATAAAGGGGGTTTACGCGACATTCGTCTCCAAAATCCATCGCGTAGTTGGGTGGACAAAAGATACCCAAAGGGACTCGGTGTGATCTGATAAAGGGAATCTAAATATTTTTAAAAATTGAACGACGAAGGGTGGGCTGACATTTTAGAATGTGGAACTCCCGAGGATAAGAAATGTACCATTAGAAAAATACGAAAACAGGCCACGATATTAGTCATCGCGCAAAAATGTCCGCTATTTAAGTGCATGAGACACCGATGAAGAAATACGTCAACCGACTTCACCTTGAGGAATAGAAACGAGGAACCTTCACCACACCACCACCCACTTTAATGTCAAACATACTCGCATTTATGGACAGCTTAACCCAAGCTTGGGACGAAGTACTGATGACACCCACCATATTTTCCGACTTCTCGAAGGCATTCGATCGATTCGCACGCGTCCCTCTGCCCGACAAACTCGAGGCATACGGGATTCAATGGAAAATTCTGCACTGGATTAAGGAGTTCTTATAAGACGGAGCATTCCTAGCGAAAGCGAATTCGACCTGCAGTTTTACGGAGCCGGTCTCCATCTGTGTTCCTAAAGGCTTTGTTTTGTGACCACATCTGTTTCTGATATACGTCAATGACCTTCCAGATGTCTACTTCTTTGGGACAATTTTAAATACTGGGTTACTAATGAATGACGACGCTTCAAAGCAACGGGCGTTTGACTGGCACCTTCCTCTGAATTTCAAACGTTGCGTCCGTATATCATTCGCAGGATATTCATAAAACGCCTTTGTCGTGCATGTGGAGGATAGACCAGGAGATAGTACAAGGAATGATACAAAAGATTTTTGGTACCTTGCTCGCTTCAGAGATGTCCTTTTCAGTGCCCCACGAAAAATCGGCTCGAAGGACATTCACCCGATTCGGCGTATCTTCATCTGTTTCGCTCGCATGGACTTCCGGACGCTCGGGGCCTACCTCAAACCACTTGTTGAGGACGCCAACCCAGAAGTATCCTCAGGAAGCAAGAAGCAATGACAATTTGGCGTGTCCAACGAGCTACCAAGTATGTTGTCGCCTGCCTTAACTCTCTTGAGGTGCTGTACCCGTTTTCCCTGGAGTATCGTCGCCCTCCGAAGAGACCTGCTATTTATTTACGCCGCGTAGGAAGAGGGTTTGAACTAACTACATACGGTCGGGACATGGAATAAGATTTTCGAGTTCAGAGAGCGAACATTTATTGGGCATCAGTTCTTCATGTTTCGGCTGGTTGGAATACCCTTCATTTGATATTTGTTCACGCTGCATCTAGTACCCAGTTCAAAACACTTTTAGACGCATTTTTAGTTAAGCTGACAGGATCGCAGCCTAGCGCTGGGAACGCAATGAGCCGCCCTACACCATTCTTTCACCTGCGACTTTCATATGAACGACAAGAACAAACCGGATTCGGGAAGTGTTGGCTAATCCTCGTTCCTCCGTACCAATCCGTGAATCCATGTACACCAACCAATCAAGACCGTGAGTTCTATTGGGTCCGCTACCTGGTGTCGTTTTAAGCCCTTGCGTCACATCGCTTTCCTGATGAAGAGATCTAAAAGGTCAAGGACGCGAGAAACGGATGCCAATGTATGTTCCAGTATGTTGCTCTGAAATAGCCTAGGTCATCAGTGGTCGCGATGTGGTAAAGATACAAAAATTGCTTCGTGAGAATACCGAGAAGTAATCCCTAATTGAAGTTGTAATGGATTTTTAGGGAGGAAATTTCGTTCAAGCGTTCGAGGTTGCAGCGCAGTCAGCAAGCAGGATCAGAGTCTGAGGATTCGAATGAGTCTGCTGGTGAGCAGGATTTCTTAGATTTACCAACCAGCGAGGTATGTATAATTCTTGTCGAATCATGAAATGTTTTCCAGGTCCCAGAAGAACATCGAGCTGAATGGGAGAAATTTTTTGGACATGCGGATGCTAATAATGAGTACATTTCCCAACTCCAGAAAAATTTGGAAGACGCGAAACTAAAGGTTGGTGAATATATCCGCACTTTGGGTCCCTTCCACCACGATTATACCTCCCACACCGGGGAATCTGATCGCCGTGTGACATTATGTTACTTGAGTACGACCTGAACTTCGGTGGCCTCTTGCATAGAATTCACGGGCTGAACAATGTCGCCGCGATTTGATCCTTGAAAAACTTTTGTTCCTGTAATAGGATTCCGGAACCCACCCGCTGCCTTGCGGTCAGGCTTTTCAGCCAGATATTGCTGTGGACCATAGCCCTAGTGCATAGGTACGGGTGCCAGGGCACTATCCCATCCTGATTGCAACTATGAGCGTCGCAACCAAAAATATTAGCATTCCATATTGGTTATCAAGTAATAGGATCCGGAACCCACCCGCTGCCTTGCGGTCAGGCTTTTCAGCCAGATATTGCTGTGGACCATAGCCCTAGTGCATAGGTACGGGTGCCAGGGCACTATCCCATCCTGATTGCAACTATGAGCGTCGCAACCAAAAATATTAGCATTCCATATTGGTTATCAACCAGTTATCCATATGCTGTATGCAGCGTGGTGGGTAAACAAAAAAATGCTACTGCGGACGCCTCCCTTTTTCAGCGCCTCTCCTTCCTTCACCCTACCACTGAATTTAATACACTGCAGGTCTTAGCACTGTAACTGACTGCTTTGTTCGCCATACATCGGGCTCAGCTGCAGATTCCGCCTGACTTCAGTAACAACCCCAAACCCATCGGAGTCTGTTTTCAAACCTCGAGAGGCTGCTTGCTAAGCCGCCCTTGATGTTCGCTCACTAAAACAAACAGGACAACAGGTGACTTGGTCGTACGCTCGTATGCTGTGTTAGAAACAAGGATACAGAACGGAAGTTTGGTGATTGAACTGACTGCCCCCTCGCTGTCTTCCATGTTCCAGCTCCACATCTCTGGTGATGCAAAGGCCGCTGCTGTTGGACATGCTTGGATGGTGAATTGAGCGACGGAGCGGAAGTGTCTACGTGATTGGATACTCGTTGATGGTTGCCTCTCACGGTTGATGCAGTGGCCTGTCCAAGGACGCTCGTATACCCCAGTGAACACTAGATCTTATCACGATCAGAATCTTTAGTTGAAGCCAGCGACAAACGACCCTAATGCCTTCAAGCGCCAAACAAGGAGAAGCTTAAGACTGACAGCCCTGGTCGATCGCAAAAGTCCTGGAAATGGACAGAGCTTTCCAATGGGGGACAATCGCACCATGTTCCGGAGTATCCGACCTACTGGTCCGAGGAAGGTAGTGGAAAGATCTCCAAAAAAGGACGGAACCTCAGTTCATTCACAGAAACGTCGCTTTAAACAATGGGCTGAACACCCAAGAGCAGTTCAGCTGGGCCTCATCAACTCAGCCTCTAGATCGCTCAGCTGTAACAGCCTTTTGATGCGCAGTTGCCATGCCACCCAAAGGAAGCACTCTTGAATAGGGGATCCGATGGCAGCGATTTGCTTCTTCCGACATTTGTGGCTTCAAAATGACGTTAGCTTGACTGTCGAGATTAGAGAGTATAATGCCGTGGTCCTACCTATCCTTGCTGGATCACGTATGTGGCTGCTGCATGTGACCCGACCTAAAGCTGCCTCGACGTTTTCCCCAGGCGACCAGCATGTCCAGCGATGTTGCCTTCCCCCGAGGAAAGACGGCTTAGAAAAGATCGGCCCTAAAACCCACACACTCCGATTGTCCAACAACTGACCGTGACCGCCGGCGCATTACCCAATTCGGTCGAAATACTTTTAAAATCAAAGAGTCGGGTGCTGATCAAAAGGCATCTGTTGTGCTCAGCCGCATCAGGAATGAGACAGTAATGTCTTAATCCCTGCGCCCTCAGGTTGGGCCAACCCCTTGCAACCGAGCAGGTCAGACTATTGAGTCATCGGCTCCGAGCAGAGTCCCCAAAGAAACCCTACTACCCGCTGTCTCGTGGGTCAAACTTTTGAGTCAAAGGCTCAAGGTGGGCTACCTCAACCAAACCCCCTTCCTCGGCCTGGGTAACCGGGAAGTATCCTTTGCCCACGCAGTTCGGTGTCCATCGATGTCCCTTTCCAATCCCTTCCCACTACACAAGCAAACGTCGCTGGGTCATTTGACTGTCAGTAATCTGACCGAAGAGCCTTATGCTCCTCGCTGCCTACCAACGATAAACAAAATAGCATCCTTCTAAATCCACGAGATCCTTTCTATATAGGAGCTTTTAACGTTCGTACTCTATGTAAAATAGGCAAACAGGCAATGCTTGCTGAGACCTTATACTCCTGTAAATTTGATGTATGCTGTGTCTCCGAAACAGCGTGGTTATGCATCTCAGAACGCCAAAAATGAATCCAGCTCTTTCACATTTCTCCCTCCGTGTGTCCGGTGACCCAGAATTGGTGGCTCGTGGAATGTATGACGTGGGAGTTGCACTCAGCCCCTGAGCTGAACGCGCTTTGCTGGAGTGGATCCCAGTGAACAGTCATCTTTGCGCCATCCGGTTATCTAGTTCAATCAACCTCAATGCCTCGGCATAAAAAGCGGTGCCTGTTTGTAGTGTCGGCTTATTCCCCAACGGACTGCAGTTCTGAGGTGGAGAAGGATACTTTCTATCGAGAGCTATCCGGACTCATTCGTCAAGCAAAATGCACTGACATCGTGATCCTTGCAGGCGATATGAATGCTCAAGTAGGTCGTATGGGCTCCTTGGAATCACATTCGGGTGGTCGATTCGGAGTCGATGCTCGCCGCACAGACAACGGAGATCGACTCCTTCAGCTGTGTGCTGATCATGAGCTGTTTCTAGCAAGTACGACTTTTCAATATAAACGTTCGCACCGCTTAACCTGGCGGCCACCAACTGCAAATCAACCGTGGACCCAGTTGGACCATGTGGCCATCAGCCACCGGTGGAGAGCCACAATTCAAGACTGCCGTTCCTTCTGGGGCACACCACTTGATTCCAATCACGCCATGGTGTTTGCACGCCCGACAGTTCGTTTCCCTTCAGGCCCTCGTAAGTCAGCAAGAAGCATGCCAATCCACTGTCTTCGAAGAACTACCGTACCTCAACAGTGTCGATCTGAGCTAGCCCAACAACTCTCCACAGTAAACCAGTACTGTGGTGGCAGTGAACGTGTGGATGAAGCGTGGCAAAATGTGAAAGGAGCTATACTAGCGGCGTTCAGTGCTTCCTGCCCGACTTCTCCAATTCGACCACAAGACCACTGGATGTCGTCAAGGTCGTTATCCATGATTGATGCCAGGAAAGCCATACCAGCAGGCAACGAGTACGACGGCGCACGCAAATCTCTCAAACGCCAAATAGTGAAGAGTCTAAGAAAAGACCGAGAGCTCCGGTGGACATCGAAAGCTCGAGAGATGGAGAAAGCCTTTGCTACGGGAAACAGCCGTGCCCTATATCAGCTGACACAGTCAGCGATGGTCAAGCGAAACAACTAGCGTATTCGGGTCTGTCAGGGAGAAAAACGGTTTCGAATAACTGGGATAAGTCGGTAATAGCACCCGTTCTCAAAGGAGGTACTCACGATGAATGTAGTAATCACAGAGGTGTTGGTTCGACTGCCTTTGCAACAAGCCTTCAGAGGTCACGGATCCTTGGTTGTCTTACGGCATCACGCAAAAGTTTGACCCCAATGAATCAAGCGGCATGTCAACTGGGTGGAGGCTGGGTTGACCACATCCTCACACTCCGTCAGGTGTTAGGGCTATGTCGTATATACAGATGACCAATAATCTTGGTATTCCTTGACTTCAAGGGTATATTTTGATTTTATCGACCGGTCAGTGCTGTTAAGCACACTTGCGCAACAGGCTTTGCCCCAAGGGCGTGGAACAAATACGGTCCACATAATTCTATGTCTGTGAAGGTATATTGTATGCTTCCCAAAAGCTCCCCTACAGAGGGATGTCAACTCTCTCCATTCTTGTGCGGCTGAGGCGAATGCTGGAAGGTCTTCAAACCCCCGGGTCTTCATATTGTTTCTGGTGAAAAACTTGTCGATCTGGAGTACGCAGTCACCATCATCATCATCTTTGAAGACGAAGGCGAAGCGTAAACCCTGTTGAATAAACTGACCACCATCATACCACCTTTCTGCACGTCCCTCGACCACCAAAATAGTCATGCTTCAGAATGTACATTTTATGAGCGAATCACTGAAGGTTGTAGAGGATTTTACGTGCCTCCGCATTCGTATCACTCCCGGCATGTGTTTCTGATGGACTAAGTGCACGAATCTCAAAGGGTCCCGTTACTTGTGGCGTCCTAAATCCATATTGTTGGGCCTCAGATGTCACGTGTAAGGATCGTATTTTTGTATGTTTGCGAGATATGACGTCTGCAGACAGTTTACATGGGGTGTCTTCAAGTTTTTGACCGCCGATGCCTCATAGGCGTAGTTGTTGTCGGATGTCATTAACGAATTCGTAACGATACAAGTAGAAAATGGGTATCTGGATCTGCAGCAGGTACTTCAGTCGCGGGAAACATCCAGCACCGGTTGCAGTGGCTCTTCCACTTGCTGCGCTTACCGAAACGTCGTCTACAGAGACGAGTTTTGTCTTCGTGCTTCCTTCATGATGGCTTAGACTGCGAGGTAAATAATGTGTGTGTGGCAGAATGGTGTCAAGGAGATTACGATCTAATGTGTTGTTGTTCGGTCCGCCTTCCGGAATGAGGTCGTGATGACCTACCGGGCTTGGCTGGAGACGTTGCAAGAAATGACGGCTGATCAATGTCCTTAGTGTCCGTTGTCCGAACACATCTCCGATATTTCGACTGCTCATGTGTAGGCTTGAGTAGCCTGACATTACTTCAGCCTTCGTGCTTCTTTTCGGTAGCTGGGAGCCGACACAATACTTGAACTCGTGGTAGTTCGAGCCCACCTTCAAACTGTAGCTTCTGGAAATTATTCAGTGGATTTTCTTGCGTTCAACGTAAACGGTTTAGCAACATTGATCAAAATCCGCAGACAGCTCAATACTAACGCCTTAGGTGTTTTGGAAACAAGCCACCCCCGGTACCAACGCTTTTCGTATTCGATTAAGCTCCAGTTTCTGTGCTGCAGTAAACATATATTTACATTATGCCACCAGTACTCGAGGCCTGCTTTCACTAGGCGATCATCAATGCACAACGAAGTCTGTTTGTAAGAGTTATGCACTAACTTCCATTGAGCAATGAGGTACTATAAAATATTATACATGTCTGTGCAGCTGGCGGCAAGGCATACTCTCGCATCTATTTGTAACTGCGCATGGAACAAGCTTCTTCATTATAAGAATTTGATGAGCTTTTATTCGTTATGCTTTCCAGACTTCCGTTCTTACTTCTACGACCGAAGGAGAAATGACAAGTTCAAAGACAATCCACCAGTAGGACACACAGGGAACTACGCAAAGTAGTGAGTGGGCACCAGAGCCCCGTTAGCCCAGTATAACCTGGTCACACAACTGCACTACGCTACGTGATGGGCACAGTGAGAGTGGAAGAGAAAATGCTAGTTAGTAGACATTACTATCTGTCGCATAAGATGTATGACTATTCTCTGACCAAATGCAGTTGCATATGAATAGACCAGGATTATGCAATGTTGAGTGATTCATTTGGGGTGGTCATCGTCCACTATATTCATGCAACGTGTAACATCAGGTCAACTTAATTCTGCCATTTTGCAATGTCTGATGATGGGAGTTTCCAGATAACGCCAGGGACAACTGACAGAGGGAAACCTGGTTATTTTGTTCGTAGCAAGACTGGACTCTCATGAACATGAGCGAGGGAACAATGCAGTCCATATTCATCGAACATTGGTAAGGACGCCCCGAAACTTCTTTCTTGAGTCTCACTCACCGTTGTCGCGGTTTTAGCACCTTATTCCGCGGAATCTTATCGGGTTGGTCACTTGACGAACTTCATGCAAACAGTTTCTTTGTTGGTTGCTGTTGGCTGCACAATGTTCATAGCGGCAGTGTCGCACGAAACACCTAGTTAATCTGCTGGCCTTACTCACGCAGAGCTTGAACCTGCTCGAAATGAATATATATGTTCGGAATGTAGCCCTTAGTCGTGCCTTGGATTTTTTAAAAGAATGTCTTATTGTGTGATAATATATGTTGATATGCGGCCAATAATTTTGGCAATTGAACAAGACGTAAACATGTTCTTGCAATGGATCCCATACTGAATAAAGCGAAGGGTATTCTACTATACCTTGTTGTTAAAGTATTGTTAGGTATTACATATACACCGTGTTGGATTGTTGTAGGGGATAGACAATACTGTCACTGTTTTCGGTATGGAAGGCTCTCTGTGAAAACGCGCTTTTTGTGAAACTGCCAAAATTTTTAGTTTACTTCACGGTGAACCCTCATGTTACTTTAGAAGGAGTTAGCGGAAGGGTAGGGAGTTCTTTGACAGTATAGGTCAAGTCGCTGGAGGATCAGGTGAGCATATTGAGCCCAACTGCATATTCCTACTATCAAAATCACCATGAACGCCAGCTTAACCGGACACGGATGCGTGCCACAGTAGGTTGGAATGATTAGCACACGTAACCGGGTGCATTTCTACTTGAAGGTGTTTGGAACGTCAGACAAGCAACCACCGATACACACCAGCAATTATATGGTTTACGTCTTGGAAGATATATATGGAAACACGAGTGCGGACTGACTGAAAGTTTTTCAAGGGACATTCAAATTCATGAAACGCTTGAGCTTTTTGATGACGGCATCGCCGAAGCAGTCAATCCACAAACAAACTTTAGATCAGACAGCTCCAGGTGTCGTTTTACATATCACGGAGGTAGACGGGCTAGAATTCATCACCACGTTGAATCGTGACATATGCGGTAACAGAGTAATATCTGACCCACTAAGGCCAAAGAGCGGACCTGTGGCTATGACTTATTTGCTTCGGATGGGAACCAATCTAACAAAGATCACGTTCAAACCAGCCATCAGGCCTCAGCTACTGCTAGGTGTAGAAGGAAGGTGAGGTAATATCAGGGGAGACAGACATCAAACTGCAAGATCGAAGTAAGCCTCGAGATCGTGGTTTTTCATGTGGCTCGGAGCTATCTACTTCGGTGCCTGAGCGGTCTCGACATATGGACCTATAATTCGTGTCGACCACGTTAAGCGTCAAAGTTGTGATCGTTCCCAAAACTCTGATGGAGCATACTCTATTATAGGCGCCAGTATGTAGCACTACCATAATACTTGCCCCATATACTCCCACTCTTCCGCAACTCTGAGGGCGAGATGGCTCAGTGCTTAGAGCGCGAGTTTACTGACCGGAAGGTCCGTGGTTCGAACCTGACATCTGCATCTTGGCCTTCTGTCAGGCTAAGGCGACCTGGCAGTAACCCAGCCCTCATGCTACCCCAGGTGCCATGTCAGCTAGGCACCGAAAGCGTGTTACAGCTGAATGATTATATTAATATATTTATAAGTCTAAGAATCAAGGGGATCGCTACATTTGCAAACTGAGCAAGCGTGTTAGGAAGAACTGATTGGGCAGCAGCGTCGAGTGCGTCTGGGAAAGCAGGGACTAGCATTGGTGTAGGTAGCTTGTACGTGTGGCGTTGCTCTAACACCTGACAGACTGTTAAGATGTGGCCGTAATGCCACTTAGCGATCTTGACCTAGCGCTTCACGAACACCCATAAGGTGGCGGAGGACAAGTGACGTTGAAAAACCTGTTACAAGCAAACCCCTCTTTAGTTGCCGTATTCATCGTGTTCTCTTTCTTCGAAAAGAACACTGTTATCGGTTCATATCAGTCGTCTGCAACAGTCTTCCAAATGAGGCAAAAGATGGGCAAGGATCTACTGAGGACTACTAGCATTGGGGTAGCTTGTACGTGTGGCGTTGCTCTAACACCTGACAGACTGTTAAGATGTGGCCGTAATGCCACTTAGCGATCTTGACCTAGCGCTTCACGAACACCCATAAGGTGGCGGAGGACAAGTGACGTTGAAAAACCTGTTACAAGCAAACCCCTCTTTAGTTGCCGTATTCATCGTGTTCTCTTTCTTCGAAAAGAACACTGTTATCGGTTCATATCAGTCGTCTGCAACAGTCTTCCAAATGAGGCAAAAGATGGGCAAGGATCTACTGAGGACTCTCCACCATCCATTAACATTGCGGCTTTCAGGTCCTCCGGGTCAGGGGTAAGTGTGATGGTCGGGGATCTTCAGTAAAGCTTACCGTCATCTTCATTTTTCTCTTCTGATGGTGGCTTTGAGAAGCGACTGGCAGAGACTAGTGAAAATTCCGCCGCTAAATTTGGAACACAGATTTTAGTGCGGTCACTTCCTAGTCACGTTTTCTTTGCTAACCCTTATATAGTTTCAAACAGTCGACTGTTTGCTGCACGTCTGTGGTGTTTTACCAGTGTCTAGCTTCGCAGTCCTGATTTTCAACCCCCACGCCCTTCGAAGTTACGAAGTCGCCCCATAATTTAAACCCCAGGAAACTCTGTATTCCATAGGAAATTTTGGCTGTTCATTTTTCTGCTGTGTGTTGTATTGTGGTACCGTCATAGTGTCCCCTGTTTCGGCAGTGTTTTGTGTGATAGCTGCAGCGGGAGTCGCCTAGGCTCCTTACTACCATGTTCTGGTTTGTTGTTGGACGACGTAAAGAGCACATCGTAGTCCTAAAATTTTGCCAGGTTTTTTCTATGCGACTTTGGCTTTTTTTTATGATAATTTTCTCTTGATGTATCTATTTTCTGGAACCCAATGTTGATCTGTACTGTATCGCACGTCTCATTCGTCTTCATTTTCATGGCAGGTTGCAGAAGAAGTTTCCCACTTCTCTGGAAGCATCCCGGGTGATCTAGATGACTTCAAAGGTGTGGATGATTTAGAGGAACTTCCGGAAGAGCTACTCAAACACCTCCGATTATTAATCGATGTATTGAAGCATTACCGAAGTGGTCCGCTACCGAAAACGGTCAAAATGCTGCCGCACCTTCCGGGATGGGAGGGTTTACTTGAAATATTGAAACCACTTGAATGGACTATCCATACCTACCCCAGGGTTGTCAAGGTGTTTGCATCGAAGGGCCACGAGCCAGCATTACAGTTGGGTTCATTCGTGCTTAATTGTCAGTGTATTCTCACCATTAAATGGTCCTGCTTTTATTGCTAATTTACGCTCTGTAGCCTGTAGTCAGTTTTGATCTCGTTGATCTCACTTCGTCCCTTATTATGTTCAACTTCGTCGCATACTCACCGATGGTCCTGCGTCGTCATCGTAACGACAGATGGCACATGTTGCCTTACGTCGCAGTTCGGCATTTAAAGGCTAGGGAGGAAGCACCACCGGCATTAAAAACCTGTCTAAAACAGCTAGTGTTGGTGCACTCCTATGTGCTTAGGACCGGTTTGTACTTCTGTTCGCGCCAACATCTACCTCGGTTACGTGGTTACAGTTTCACGTTGGTTAGTATCCTAAGGGCATGTCTCCATTACGTTTTAGACAAACCCTAGTAACGTCGATGTACGGGAACTCTTACTGATACCAGCACTAGCCATTCGACTCGCAAGAATGTGAACCACCTACTGAAGAAGTCAACGTTTCCCCTTACGTTCCTCGTCCCGAAAGCATTGGCTAACAAAACGACCCACCCAAGCACTGTCGGTTAATCGTTATTCTTTTTTTCGGTTAGAGCGATTCTAAACTTGATGACTTCGGAAAGACTGTCCCAATTTCAAAACCGCCACTTTATGACTGTCTGCTGTATCGCTAGAAAGAGTTTGAGCGCCGCCACCGATTACTACCCCGTTGCAGATGTGGTTGCCGGGGTTATGAATGCCCAAACAATTAGTACTAACGATTCTGGGTGGTTGTCGAGACGCACGCGCAACGGTGAGCACCTCCTATGGTTAGGGTTATAGCCAGATTAACCCCAAAACAATCGAGTACGCATAAGTTCGTGGTGCCCCTCATACACAGATACACAGCATTGCCATCAGATATAGGTGGTATGAACCAATTATTAATTGCCCCTCATTTTGGAATACCTGTGTGAATTCTGACGATTAGCTTGTCCATCGCTGCCCTTTGCGCTTTCCGAGGGCACGTAAGTTTCACAAAACTCGCTAGACGATCAAGAAGGTCGCTGACATTCATGTAAGATGAACTTACCGAAATTCCTACTGGCACTCTGCCTTTGTTACAACGGAACCACATTCGCTTAAAGCCTGAAGCTCGAGCAACATTCATTTATTCGAGGCCCGGACACGTATTCCAACTTGTCAAGAATGCGATGCAACTCGGCGAATGATCAGGTGAAGAAGAGCATATGTACCTATCACGAAATCTTTCAGTTCCATAGAAGTGAGGAAAGGAAGCAAGCAGGCAACTCTGTAAAGGTTCTATGACTTCGCTTCTATCATTTCGCTTTGATAACCCTGAACTGTGTACCTGTGTACGGTAGTTCGGGTCGCCGCAGCTTGGGGCAGCGGGAGGTAGTTGCAAGATTATTGGGTTACAAAAGGACGTTTAAGAAATACTTGCTAAGAGCAAGAGAATGGATACAACACCACTACTGGTTTTCTTGGCACCGCCATGTCGGTAAGAACCTCCAACTATCCAAAGAGGTACCAATGACCAGCGCACTGAGTTTTCTGGCACTGGCCTCCATACTTGGCTGTCAAGTCGTCGCTTAACCATTATTGGCTTGTTTCCACCCTCTGGCTGATTGTGCGTAAGAAGTTAGTCTACTGGTATAAGGAGCAGGTAACCAAACCAGTGCAACATATGAAGTGCCATCAGCTCGTTTATCGTGGGCGAGTTGTTTCTTCTAAAAGCTTTCGACATACTTCACTACTGATCCATCAGACTTGAACTCCGGAGACACCTATAGTAAAACACGGAAATTCTTCTTAGGTCATGTCCCATCTGTGCCGCAGGTGAACCAATTTGACAAAAGCTCTCCTGGTCTTTTTGATCCTGTTCAAACAGCTGCCCCTGACAGACTACTCTCTGCTTCCGCAGAATTGAGCATGGAAAACAGCACTCTCTTCGGCAGGCGATAGTCAGGCATAGGCTTTCCGTACACTCTCACACGTCCGGAAGTCTGAGAATACAAAGAACGTATTATGTTTACAAACTTACGGGGCATTCCTTGGTGGACAAGCGTGTCAAGCAGAACAGATCGGTCCCGTAGAGTAATATTCGCAGAATCATTGTCTTCACTCTGTGCAGCTTATTTCGGGGAGCATGTGAAGCTATGACCTGAGAGAAGAAACAAGGTTTCGGCGTGGAAGAGGTTGTGTGGACCACATCTTTAGAATGTCTCGTGTGATACTGCAACAACATGCGTGTGGGCGCCGTACCATCTTTGTGTCCCTTGACTTCAAAAGTGCGTCCTGTTCTGTCCTGTTCGTCCCAAACATAAATCCATCCCAGAGACCATAAATGCCACGTACTCTCTGTTCTCACAAACTTGTGGGCGTGTGACTGTATTGCGAACCCCACAAACAATGTCCGGCAACTGCGTTCACTCTCTTCGTTTATCTTTACGTTCATGATTGATTGGATAATGTGGCGGACCATCGAGAGTCTTCGAAATCCAGATCTGCAAGAAAGATTCTTGTCGGCCTTAGATAAGCAAATTATATTTTTCTGATTTGTAAAAAGGAGAAAAAACGATCATACCATCTCTTGGTATGTACTTCGCCCCCACAAAGTGCATAGTCATGCTGAAAGTTTTCTGAGTAGTCAAGGGCCGGATCGGGAGGTTTTGGAACAGTATACCTATTTCAAGTGTTTCATTACATCTGACCGTGATGAACTATGTGATCAACAAGTAGATCTCAATGTCCAGAATCACATTTACCACTTAGGGCTTGAAAAAGGCATATCATTTAGTCACAAAAGACTTGGGTATCAGACTATGGAATGAGTCTATTGTTTTACGGTTGCAGGGTTTGGCCAGTGTGGGTGGGGAAAGAGCTGTTCAACCTTACGTTTTTCGTAACTATAGCTGGAATCAGCTGTATAAGTCCTAGGCGAGTATACGGTGTCCGAACTAAGCAGTTAAGCTGCCTTTTTTGCGAACAACTACGTGGGTAACCATCCAGCATTCGTTTGGGTAATAATCCTGGCTGTTCTGACGAGTCAGAACAATCTCATGTAGGTTTCCTGTCGATGTTCCACTTTGCCGGTACCCCAAATAGGCGTAAAAACGTAGGGAAAAGGTATAGGCCGTCAAGTTAAACAGCGTCATGCTTCTTTGAGATGAAAGCCATTCCACCGAGCGTTGCGAACGAAGCATTTTTTCTCCACCACTGTACTACTAAGTATTTTACTAGTGCCAACCGAATACGTGATTATTGAAGAATGGGTGCAAGCTGCGTGGAAATTTTCAAACTTCTCCGAAAATCCGATCAGACTCAATGGTTTTGAAACAGTTGAATTTAAAAGGACGTCTTCGCTTCCATAATGTATGTAAACTAGGACTATGTACGGGCGAATGACTTTGTTGCATCTGGCTGGAAAGTCGCTTACATCGGATTAGATCCGAATTTTACTGTATGGATAGTTTGTGTGGTGTGCTTCCAAAGATCTGCGACCGGGCTCACAGAAACATGCTAATGGCAACAGTAAGACTGCCCCACTCTAGGTTTTCATCGCCTGGACCTGTGTTTTACTTTCCACAATGCTGAACTCGAGTTATTTTGTGGAAACGCATTTCTGAACTCACCTGGCTTACCACCCATCTTGGGATCCACTTTGTGATATGCAAAGTATTGAGTGAGAAAATCGAGTCACTTCCTCACCCAAAATTAATGACCAGTCTGAGTTTAAAAACTTCTCAAACAGCGAATTGGTATTCAACGGTTGGTTGTGGTAGTCGATTACTCGCATGTAGCAACACATTTATAGCATACTAGAGCAGAGAGATATGGGTACATCGATGTCCAATCTGTTGTTTTCTGTCAATGGTGATCAAAGTGATACACGTTGCCTCACCAAATCTCTGCTGCTAACTTTTAGCTTGTAGGGCACTTACTTCGCATATAAATATCCCGGGAACGTGTTCATGCTCTCTCATTTAATCCATTCGTTTTTCTTTTCAGTTTCTATGAAAATTACCTTCTACCCAAGGTCAAGCAAGACATCGAGGAGAATCGGCGACTGTCTGTTCACATGTTTGAGGCTCTAATCGCTTCAATGTTCCGTGCTGAAGAATTCGTTTCTGGGGTCTTCCTTCCTTGGATACAGGTACAGTATCCCGTCTCCTTAGCAAAAAGCATAAAATCTAAACAAATTGAATACCCCCTTGCAAGTTGTTTCCCTTGCACCTTGAAAGCGGCTCTTCGATGTGACCGCATAATCTGCTGTCAATTACCGAACACATCACAGCTCGCGAACAACATTTTCCAGGGTGGATGTTGTAAGTAGTCGCCAGACATGCTGTTTGGTGCATCCGAAGGTGTAGTTCTCAAACCGGTTTCTACTTCCTACTCACTCACTGCGAAGGTAGAGCTGGATTCTGTGCGTTTTCGAGAACATCTGGTACTAGAATCCAGCTGGGTGTTTCTGCAGTTTATGTGTGACCATGTGTTTGCAACTTGGTTTACCCCCTATATGAACAGTGCTGGTGTAAATCGGACACAGTACTATCAAGAATAGTTACGCTATTGTTTTCGGAAAAGTTTGGTAACAATTGGTGGATTTATTTATTGACACAAAAGCTTCGTCAGGCCGAATGACTAGGTTACGAGGTTGGTTGAGATTTAAGGTGGAAGGAAGAACCAATCAGCTAAGCCAGGCAAAATCTGTGTTAGGTGTCGGCCAAGGGATTTTGTATGTTAGGGTGGGGTGGGTTGGGAAACCTAAAGGGATTTGGGTTCGGCTTAGGGTCTAGTGCTTCTAGTTCATGTGCCGATCGCTCTTGAACGTCATCGGCACTTTTCGTCCGCCTGTATGGATGGGTTAGTACTATGGTAGTTTTGTACGAGAGGAGGATTCCGTGACTTTTGGTCGGGTTGGAATTCCCATCCACTGTTTTGCTAGTGATTATATGCGCATTGACAACCACACAGTCAGGTGTCAACTCGGTTTATCTAAGACCGCTTTCCATACGGAGGATAAACAGACCACCAAGAAATTCGAAGAATACTAAACGCAGATCAAAGACTCAGCGATGGCGGCACATACTTTAGACACAGGACATAGAGTAGATCTGGAGAATGTGGAAGTTTTCAGACAGGGACTGCGATTCGCACCACAGCGGCTGATAACCGAGGTGGTGTAAACTACCAAGCATCGTAGCGTGAATAGAATCGAGGGTGTGGAACTGGCGAGTGTATGGAGAGTGGTCTTAGATAAGCGAGTTGGTTTCGTATTCGAACTTTGAAACGGCGCGTCTAGTAAGTTGGTACCATAGGATGACGACTATGATATTATTAGTTAGGCGGTATGTATGGCTTCATTATCCTTGTGAAAGACCATGTCTCAATCTGAACTACGGGAAAATCTGGTGACTGCGTGTGGTCCCGCATGTCTTTATCGTCTGTTTTGTATGCTGTCGTTTCAAAACTTCTCCGTTGCAGTGAGTGCTTCCAGAACTATCACTATACTGCCTATAGAAATTCTTTTCCATGGTCTTGCTAGCAGCTGTCCATGCCATGTAGACCAAACGTTTTTTATCTCCGCAGAATATCGTGCTTTTTGGCTGACCGACACTTACCATGCGATTGGGCAGAAACCCGATTGCCGTCTATCAAGAGAACAAAGGGACACCCAGTCAGGACGGACCATGGATTTATGCAAACGGTTACTTTCCGCTTAGATGATCCATATTATGACGACTTAATTATTCACAGCTTACGTCATCTGATAACAGACCATTTTGAAAATCAACAGCTGGTTTATCCGAAATAGTCCTCATTTGCAAGCACAACGCGATCAATGCTGTGATTCGCTGCTCTGGCGACATTTTGCGGTGGAGACTGCAGCATTTTCAGCCATTTCCGGAGCTACTTATATCAAGTAAAGTAGCACATAATATTTCCGTCTGCCTGTCGCAGCATTTTCGGCGATGTGATCGCTATGCCCCTACAAAGGTGCTCTTAAGGGTGAATTTGTATGGACGGTTTACGTATAGAAAAAAATATTGATGCGAAATGGGTGTATTTGTCGAGTTTGTGCAATTTGGGCTCAAGTAGGACAAAAGCTTGACGGAAACTTAGGAACTGCGCCTACTTGGTGGGCCCCAGAAGGGTGAAACCGGTCATAGACTGCCGAGTAGTTTTCAGCTACTTCATGAGTAGAGTGTTGCATTTACACAAACAGATGAACTCGATACTTAAAATCACTCATACGGGAGACAAGGATGCGCACTTCATTCGTTGCGCCGATTGTCTCTTTCGGCCATTATTCGACTGATGACTGTTTACTAGTCAGAGGGTTTTCGTTCTGTGATCTTTTCTAAGTTGAAATTATTAATAGTCAGAAGTCAGATTATAACATTGAGTGGGACCAATTGACATGAAAAGGGAGATGCTCATTCGTTTGTCGCGGCGGATTTCTGTGCAATGTGGTGCGACACCGAGAAACTTTGAAGACAGAGCCACTAATAATAAACGCAACTCTTTTTCACACGCAAAGCACAGGAAATTCGTTCGTGCAGATACTCTCACACTGAAGTTATCTTCACATGCAACAACCTTAGCATTCACTAACCGCGTAGGAAACCGTAGTCTTTAGTTACCTGCACGTTGGATAGTCGTTATACGGCTGCGGGCGACTGACGACAGTGCTGATACTATACTATACTGTGCAAACAGTAGTTTTGGTGTTATCCATGGCGAGGTCTGCGGCTTACGACTGTCTTCCGGATAATAAACAACAACGTTGAAGGGTTGGAAAAAATGGCATCTCGCCAAAGGTAGTAACCAGTTACAGTAACCAGTTAGTCACGGCTTCATGAGAGACTACGGGTGCTTATTCGATCTATGTGACAGGCGCGGATGGTGAATGGTGAAAGAAGGAACACTGCCTGTCTTCGGGGGATCCGTTCGAAGCTAAAGTCTCATCGTCTAAATATAGGGCTTTTGAACAAATTGGTGATCAGCCGCATTTTTTATCGACTTCAAATGCTCATTAACTACTTGTTACTCGTTCTTCGCTAGGTACGGAACATTAAAACCGCTTGGGCAGTATATTTTGTTCTCAACTCGTCGGTTTATCCCTCTCCATTGCGCATATTCCACAAGAGTGCAAATTGTCAATTCATTTTGGCCGGTTTGTTAGACAACCTTGACGTGAGGGTAATCCATTCAGCTCAGACAATATTTTGTGTGAATTCGTCCCAGCGTAAACAAACTTGCTAATCTACTGCTTCCATCCACTCATCTGTTTCCCAACATACTGTACCCCAGTTTCTATTTCGTTTCAGTCCGACATGTCCAAAACCGAGGGAGTGATTCTTGCTCATTTGATCAAAAAAGCCACACTGAAATCCCGATTCGCTGCCGTTGCTCTAGCTCTGACGCTTGAGGAAGATTTCAGTATTCCACGCTCGTTAGTGATTGAAGCCTTATTATCCAAACGATATAATATGCCAGAAGCGGCACTCTCTCGAGTGATTCAGTACTTTTTGAGGTGAGTTCTTTGACGTTGGCTTTGTAACACCCGTTTTAGACATAACAGCCTGCTCGGTGGCAGCAGATTACTAGAGTTGTGCCGCATTTGCTGCTGATTTTTGTAGTGTGTAATAGTCAAAAGAGAATGGTAGGACCTATACTAAGAGACTCCTTTGTGGAGGATTAGGGGAATACGCGCCTCAGTACAAACCACAGGTGACATTGCCTATCCAGTGTGACGGCACAGATTACAGATACCGAATGGAAAACATGAACGAAACTGCATCAGCTCTGGAAAATTCAGTAGTGCACGAGTGTAGTGTGACGGATGCAGATGAACGTGTTAACTCGACTCTTGTATTTGGAAACAGGATTTGGCAGCTCTGTGGGAACATAAGGGGGCAATATTTATGTTCCTCTGCCAAGAAGTGAAACTTGATGAAGATGCCTAAGAAAGCATAGCTGGGTCAGTTAACTGATTGATTGCGGAAATCGGACAGAAGAAGCGAGTTTAGCTATGCAATGGCAACGTAGCAAGATCCAAGTTACATCTTGACGGTGGGAATTTTCGGGGCCAAAGAGGTGCATCACTTTTTTGGATACTATCTGTCGATGTAAGATTTATGGGGGGAGAATGATCCCGAATTGGGCAGTGGTACTCCCTAGTGGGATGAATCTGGCATTTGCCGAAAATTTGGGTGGCATGGAAGCTTCCTTAGCAGGACACACTACTCATAGGATTGCTGAAAACCCTTTGACAGCCCAGTAACCGTTTCACTCTACTATTCAATCCATGTGCGTCACTCATTTACGAAGTTTCACTCACCCTTCGAGCTACTTGTAGATGGTTGATGTGATATTTTGGAATTTTCAATAGAGATTTCGTCCTGTAGATGAAACCGGTCTATGCTGGAGATCCGAGATGGACTGTGCGACTGTTTTGTCCTCATTGCGAGTGTTTAGCAATACTCGTCTTACCAAACTGCAGATAGTTTCGAACCGGTGGCCTCCTAACCTGTATTTGGACACAAGAATTTGGCTGCGGGCGGCTGACCAGCAGTCTGATTAAGTCGCTTTGGTGTAAAGTCCGTTTGCATCTGTTTCCGCCTCCATCTAGTTCTTTGTCTCGTGGTTCGAACCCGACCTCTACCTCTCGACTTCCCCTGTATAGGCTTGGACAGCCTGACAGTATCCCGGCCCTCGGGTAGCATGACAGCTAGGCACCGGAAGGGTGTTACAGCTGAACGACTTTTTGAATATTTTATCTCGTCAATCATTTTCCCCAAGTAAAGAATGACTCCGTACATCCTCATAGTAAATTGATTAGAAACGTGACATCTTTGGGGGGGATGATTTTACTCGAAACCACAGTCTATCTACGACAATGTTAATCTTTGGAGATATTTTCTATGGAGTGTAGACTTGGTTTGAAGAAGAATTAGAGGTCAGTCAGCAGGGACCCCCTGTATGAAACGGAAATAAAGACAACACTATAAAAACCTTGCACAGTTAAATTTATGCATGGTAGCACGCCTTTTCAAAAGCTGTGTATTGTAAGAAGAAGGATTCATATTGTAGCTACAAGCTCCAAAGTGTGACCGCTCGGGGGAAGAAGGAAGTGGAAAGAGTAATTCAACAATGAATAACCACATTGTAGGGACGGCCTGGAAAACAAAGACGCCAGCATGATAAAGAATTAGGAAGAGGATTGGCAGAAGCTAACTCAGTCGAATACCTTTAATGATAGTAGTTTTGGAACCTATGTGCTCAATCCCCTCGGAAGGAGGCTTCTAATTTTGAAGCGAGTGACTATTTCTTGAGTAACCTTTTAAACCTGGTTGATTATGGAAAGATAAGAAGAGAAAACTCACGTCAAATGAGTCAGTGTTACTCTACGCTATAGCAGATTTGGGCGCTGAAATATTTTTGATTGGCGTAAAGGATTTAACATTGGTAGACCGGGAGAGGTTGTCAGTCCACACGTGATGAAATATGCGGAGTGACTTAAGGACCCATACAGAGCTGCAGGCCAGAAATGGCACATCCAAATGGATTTGAGAAAGCTAATCCTAATGGCTGAACCTTACTGGGCAAGTTTTGACAAAATTAGCGTTCAGGATTCGGTTGGCCAGTGTGGGATGAGTAAGAATCGGAACAATAGATGGCATCCCTAGCCAATGCGTGTATATATATATATATATATATATATATATATATATAAAGAGAG